GGCCAAAGACCGTTTCACAGAGCTCACCATCTCTTCCTTGATACGCTCTGTAATTTTATCAGTCGCTTCCTCGTGTGCGTGGAATAAGCTGATGACGCTGGTATTATCAGGGTCCAAGATATTTCCATCTTCATCTCTGACAATCAGATCAAGCTCAAGGATTCTGCAGAGCAAAAATGTGAGATGAGGAAAAATCAAGGGAAGCTGAAGCCTTTAGAACATTGATGAGAAGTTTCTACCAGAAAGCTCACCGGATTTCAGCCGTACACAGATAGCACGACACACAGCTGCGAGTCACCCTCGTATGGTTCAGCCTCTCTGGGAGGTATTGTGGCAGTGTGTATTAAAATATAATTTAATATGTATTTCCTGCGAGAGTGAACCTAGAGAAACAACCACACGTGAACAAGGATGTGTGTTGAAACAATTATATATATATATATTGTTTATTGATATATTGAAACAAATTAAAATGTCTGTCAAAGGGGGAATGGCTAAATAAACTGTGATCTGTAATGGAGTTCCATAGCACAGGGTTTTAAAAATGTGATATAGTTCTGGTATGTTTAATGATATATATCAGCGAAAAAAAAATCAAGCATGAAAAGATGCATAAGTGTGTTTTAAGTAAAAAACAAACAAACAAACAGACCAAGCCAGGTAAGTTACCTGGGTGCATGTATAGAGAGAAACTTCTGGACAAAATTCACCAAACTGCTAACACTACCAACACATGCACCTGTGAGGAGAAGCAGGGCCCTGGGACCAGGAGAGGTGTAGGGGTCAAGGAGAATTGTGCCTTATCTCTATTCATTTAATGTTTATGTAATGCCACAGAACATAATATAGTATGCTATACAATATAATACACAGAGAAGGTGTTCATGTATCACTTATTCAGTGACAATTTGGAAGTAGTTATTGGGAAAAATCTCAGATATCTCCATCGTTATCCACAGCTTGCTCTTTAGCTCTGTGACTTCCAGGTCACAAGCTTTTCCCTGTTTGGTATTGATCTGTTTCAACTGCATCTGCCATTCTGATTGGAATCGATGACACGAACAACAGCAAACACCCACACAGCACTTGTGATAAGCTGTGCATTAAACTCTTTACACACGTTAAGCATTTGACCCTTATAATAACCCTAAGAGGGAGGTGCTATTAATGCCCCTATTTTACAGGACAAGAGAAGACTTCAGGATACTTTGCTCCAGGTCACACAGTAAGAAGCAATATGGCACCCTAGTCTGCATTCTTGACCTTTATGGTATACTATCTAGATAGAAGGCTTTTAGAAGCAGTACTGGGTTGGGGGAG